TTTGCCTCCAAATACAACCTCTTTTCCACCATACCATGCTCTCTTCCTTCAAGGCCCAACTCAGACACCATTTCTTCCCATTTAGTTTTCTCAGACCTGTCCCCTTTTCCCTCCTCCCATTCCTCCTGGGCTCTACCCTGGCCTCCCTCTTATCCAACCTCCCTTGTATCTTAGTTATTTATGTCCCTATCTCCCTCTCCCCCATTTTAGACGAAGCTACACAAAAGCTAGGTCCATGTCACATTTATCTTTTTATCTTTCCCAAAATACACAGTAGATACTTAAATACATGTTAAATTTGAGGGGCTGGATTGAATTAATCACTATGAGAGCTTTCTAGTGATTTTAGGAACACGAGTGTGTCTGTTTAGATTAAGAGTTCAGCTCTCTGGCCAATGGCAAAAACTCAGAACACAAGAGAGGTTGATCAAGTCTAGCCAAGATCTGTCAGATTTAAGAAAGTTCCCATGGTTTCTACCAGCAACTGGAGTACAAAGAAGCTGCAGAGTGGGGGTGGCGCCCATCGTAACAAGTTCAAGGCCAACATCACTGCCAGAGGACACAGTCAGCTTTCACCAACTGGTGGAAAGTTTTCCATTAAAGACAGACTCATGACAAGATTCCTGGCCACGCACCAATACCCAACCAAACTTGCTCTACATTATCTCACATACTGTTAAGTCAAAAGCTCCACGAGGTTGCACCTGAGTAGCAGGGAGGGAGTCAGGCCGGGCTTGGGGTCAGCAAAGAACAGAGTTCAAATCACACTCTGACAGGTATTAGCTGTGTGACTGTGAGCAACAGTTCATCTCTCTCTGCCTCTAGCAACTCACTAGGAGATGGCTACTGAGTTACAGACACCAGAAGGCACCACCTCTCATTCATGGAATGCCATTCCCTCCCCTAACACTCAATAGAAATTCAACAATTGGTAAGTGATGGTACAAGAACTACGTTGGACTAGATTTCGGTCCTCAGGGGAAAATATAAGACTTTTTAAAAAATAATAAAAATACAACTAAAGAATCAAGTATATTCTTTTACTTTTAATTATTTATTTATCTTGTATGCTATTTTGGAAGACACTGGGAGAAGTAGGAAAAATCAACATAAGGCAACAGCCTAGACTAGGAATGAAGGCTGGATTTGGAGTCACAGGGTGTGGCTCTACCACTAACTGTCTGTAAAACCCTGAACAAGCCATTTCCTCATCTGTAAATGAGGGTGGTGGATTAGTATGGCATTGTGGACAGACAGAGAACTTTGAGTTTGAATCCCAACTCTGTCATTTGCAAGGTAGGGGACTTTGGGCAAAATCCTTAGCCATTCCCCTTCTCTAGAAGCTCCAATGGGTCCTTCTTGCCTGTAGGATGAAATGAAAACTCCAGACTAGCTTTCTAACAATATCCCATATAACCCCACTTCATGCATCTACATTCCAGTCAAATCAGACTATTTGCTGCTCCTAAGACACCACACTCCAGCACCTAGCTCCTTGATGTCAAGCAGCCAGTCTTGGGATGTGCTGATGCCTCACTTCTAAATCAAAATATTCCTAGTTCCCCTCACAGCTCAACTCAAATGTTACTTCTTAAAGGAAGCCCATCTTGATTCCACCATATGCCAGTGCCTTCCTCCAGAAGTTACTTTGTATTGAATATTTTGAAGACGTGTCACTCTCCCCCCAAGAGAATGTAAGTGCCTTGAGGGCAGGAAACTGTTTTTTTTGTCTTAGACTTTCCAGTCCCTGACACAAAGCAATACATATTACTTAATATTGTCTGAATGAATTAATCTATAAAATTATGAATTCATCTGTAAAAGGAAGGGGTTAGATCCCTACAGATGAATTTGAAAGTTTCTTCCGATTCTACACCTACAAGCCTCTGAACCCTGAGCAAACATCAGCAGCTGTGGTGGTTAGCACCCATGCCTCCAATGGGATTGACCTGGGTCTAGTGATACGATGAACTTTAAAGCAACCAGCTATTCCCACCCCCAACCGCCATTAACTATAATTGCATCAGCATTCCCCCTCCTGCACCATTCTAGGCGCCAAATGCCCTTTAATTAGCTGATGGGCCTCCAGGCTTCGGAGGACCGTAGCGTTCAAGGGTGCCATCTGGGTTTACCCCCAGAGTCCCATGAATTCTGCATTTATAGGCGCAGTCTGACTCGTGACTCTATCCTATGTACTATCTTCCAAGATTCCATCTGAAGTTTTATCATCAGACTTTTGATCAATCAATCACTCACTACCCCGGTGTTCACAGCCAGCCAGCATTTCTCCATTTGGAGAGAGACAGAGTAACGTGAAAGATGACCCCTAGGATCCAGGACCCGACCAGCACGCCACTGTTATGCTTGAAAATTTCTCTTGGCTTCCAGCTCGGTCCCACGTGGAACCCAAATCATGGCCTCTCGGAGATAGAAAGGACTTTAGAGGCCATCCAGTCTGGCTGCTACCCAAACAAACATCCTTCGACAACATCACCAACAAAGGACCAGTAAGTTTTTGCTGGACACCCTTCAATGAAGAGCAGGGTGGTGAAGTCAACATTCGGATTAGTTTCTGGCTCAAACTACTACAAATTTTATTCCCAACATGTTTTGCTTACTAGAAACATTAAAAAAGAGCAAATTTTGGACTTGACGTTAGCATCTTTCTGATGGTCTAGTATTCCTTTCCAGTGGCCAAGGAACAAAAATCAGTCCTTCCACTCTTGGGCATTTCTGAAGTGTTATTAATTTTCTTTTTCCATTCACTTGACTCGAGCCCCCTTTTGGCTTTATACTATTTGACATGGAAGGACTAATTCCTTTGGGGTTTGACTATTGTCTTTATAATTCTTTTACAGTTCCTAAATTCCTCAATGGTAGGGCCTGCTTCATTTCCTTTGCACTCATTTTGTCTGGCACACAGTGGGCACCTGTTGTACTGAACCACGTGTAGGGATGTGAAATTTCAGGCCTGCCTAGCTTAAAAGCCTGACCTTCTAAAGATTCAGACCAAATTCCCATCTCCTCCAATACAATAGTATTGATCCCACCTTGGATATCAAAGCACTTTGCTTATTTCCCTCTCTACAATCTGTTAGGAAACACCAAGAGATTTCCTTTTAGGGTTTGTATTCCAAGAGCCTAGCACAGTGTCTGACAAATAGGAGACATTTAATAAATGGTTATTGATTGGACTGATGAGACACTCAAGCCGCCTCTTGTTGCCCTGATGGAGCAGCTGAAAGAATCTCTTCTTAAGTCTACAGCCTCTTCCTCACAAGTCAGGTGTCCAGAGTGGCCACCCCACCCAGGGCACAGACCTCAGAATACTGTAGAAGGAGAGCTCCTTTTTGTTGGAAAGGGAGTGGTACATAGGCTTCCCACCACACAAAGCTCCCCACCCCCAACTTGAATCACAAATACTGGCTTTCAGAGGAAGAATGTGAATGGCTCCATTCCAAAGTATGTCCCTAAGTTCTTCGCCAACCAGCCAGGCTAGCCAGGTGCCATCGAGCCGTACCCCAGCACGCTGCTCGCTCAAGAAGGGCAGAAACTGAAGCTCCAACCTAGACGAGTTCCAGAGGTTGTATACCAGAGACCACATCACTAAGCCTTACTAACTTCTTCCATTTATAAAAACTAAGATAGTTCGAATAAATCACTAACTTCCCAAAATGCAAAAATTCAACGATTCTAACATGTTTTCACTTTTATGTTTTGGTCTACTTGACCTAAACACAAATGCCAGATCTGAACTTCACAAATATCAAGGGGGTTCTCTCACTTTACTATTTCAAAGAATAGAGATTGCCTCAGTGAGGGTGCTCCCTCCCCCCAGGCAAAGACAGAATGGCTTTCTCCAACTGCTGGAAAGGTTCCCAATAAACAAGATGGACCCAAGCCAAGATTCCACACCACCCTCCACTAAAGAACCAAACTTGTTTTCTAACATATTGTTTATCTAACACATTGCTTTCGATCCAAAACATATTGCTCTCCTAACTATTAATATTGCTAAGTGGCATAAACCATGAAGCAGTGTGGCCTAGTGGGTAGAGTGCTGGTCCTGAGAGTCAGGAAGGCCTGAGTTCAAATCCCACCTTTGCCATTTAATAGTTGCATGATGTTGGGCAAGTCACTTCACCAGTCTCAGTTTCCTTATCAGAAAAAATGAGAATAATAAATCTCAATGGGATGCAGAGAGGGTCATCAGATATAACTAACATAAAGCACCTTCCAAACTTTCAAGTACTATATTTGGAGTCAGGGATTGTTAGCATTCATCTATCTGATTCTTCGTTCCCCCACTCCCTCAACTCTTCAGGAGTAAATAAGCATATTCGCTGCCTCCCCTGGGAAATGGCCTTTGATTATTACAACCTACTACCATTAAACAGATGGGTTTTGAAGGTTGTTATGGGCAAAAATCTCTCTACCCTATGGCCACCATGGGAATGAACTTCCTCAAATTCAGCAAGGCTGGTCCTGGGATGACAGGCATTCAAGCCTTTGTGCTTGAAGCTGTTTGAACGAGGCAGGACATCACAAAGGTCTCAGCTCTCAGTCTCCACACCACAATGAGGCCTCAAAGGAGGGCTTTAAAGGGACAGGGCTCTAGTGAATGGAAATTATGTTACCATACAGCCAACTCTCAGTCCTCAAAGAACTGTCCATTCAGCTTATGGACTATTTAGGCCCTTGGGTCTCTTCCTTAAATCTCCAGTGATCCAGCTTTGGAACATTTCATTGCTTGTAAGCAAATCCATCCTCAGATCTAAAAGGGCACCAAATAGCACCAGGCAAAACTTTAGAGGGAGGGGAGGGTGAAATTAATGACTGAAATCTAGAGTTGGGATTATCAACAGATTTCATTTCCAGAGTTATCCTTGTCTCCCCAAACCAGATAATCTAGAACTAGCCAAAAAGAGTCAGAACATCCATGGAAATCATATGAACACACCTTGTTCATCAAGACCCAATAAAAGTCTTCCCTCACCTACCTCTCTTATATGCCTTTTCAGATGCATGTACACACACTGCCCAGTTTTCCGATAGTGCCTTTCTACATGCTCCCTTCCAAAGGCCAGGAACGTATTCATGCACACGTAGAGACCTCCTTCTGAAATCTGAAAGACAGAGACAAGCCAACTTACTCATCTAGACAAATGAGCAAAGACCAAGGGACCCTAGAAGTTAGGGCCCATGGAACCCCAAGGTTTCTGAGAACAGACTTCAGAGAGTTGAACTTTTTCTTTTAATATTCTGATAACTGCATTTCAATGTAATTGGTTTCCCTTGTAATGTTCTATATTTTATTTTATGCATTTAAAAATATTCTTCTGAGGAGGCCACCAGACTGCCAAAGAAGTCCATGACACCAAAAAGGTTTACCCTCAACTAGAAGCAAAATTAAAAATGATTCAAGCAAGGAAATTGAAAATTATTTTTTCCTGCTTTGAGTTGTTTTTTTTCTTTTTTCTGTGACTGATCCTTTTCTTTGTAGACTTATCTATTTACCCTCTAAAATGGGATGTCTGTGACCTTGGCCCCTGAATGACCTTGGACAAGTCACCTCACTTTTCTAGGTCTGTTTTCCCTAACATATAAAATGAGGTAATAGATTAGATGAACTTGAAGGTCCCTTAAAGCTATAAATCTATTATTCTATGATTAACGAAATATTAAGTATTTCAAAAGCAGCTACAGGAAAGTCCAAAGAGAAAACTGAAAAAAAAAATGATGAAACACTCTTCCTTCTTCATGGTACACAGGAAGGAGTTACAGCTACAGAATACTGCATTTGCCGTCAACCAGTCATCAATCAACAGCCATCGGTTATGTATCTATTAAGGGCCAAGACGAGGATACAAAAACAAAAATGAAATCATCCCTGCTCTCAAAGAGTTTACGCTCTATTGGGCAAGACAACATTATATACATATATGTACATATAAATACACATACATATCTGTATCTATATATATATACACCATATGTGTATATAATTATTTAAATATCAACATATCTTCTATTTTTATAAATACCAATATATTATTGCAAATATATAAATATATAGTATAAACATTATTACAAATATTACAAATAAATATATTATAAATATTGTTATTACAAATTAACACAAATATAAGCTTGTGTTGATAGAAATATAGAATTATTCCTGTTTCTGTTTATTTTACATATAGTGTGTACATAAAGCATAAATACAACATATAGTGCATAGTCACTGTGTTGGTTGGTTGTGCTTGCTGGGTTATAAGTAATGGTTCAATAAATGGTATATGAATATACTAGAAAAGGAATATAACATCAAATGCATCAATAAAGCTTTCAAAAATAAATCAAGCAAAATGGAGAGTCGGTGTCAAAAGTTATGAAGAAATAGGTTTTGTAAGAAATATAAACTATCAAATAACAAGCTAAAAAATGTTCAGAGTCACTAATAATCAGATAAAAGAAGATTTAAACATCCCTGATGCATCACCTCCTAATTATTGAGCCAAGATGGAAAACTCACTGTTGGAGAGGCTTCGGGAAGACAGGATGGCAAAGCTTGAAACTGATTCAGTCCTTTTGGAAAATGATATGGAGTTAATGCAAGAAGAGTTATACATTGTTCCTACCCTTTGACTCAGAGATTCCTCCAGCCTTGGGACTACATCCCAAGGGGGATCTTGACCACAAGAAAAGACCCATATGCACAAAAACACCCATAGAATTTTTGTGATAAAGCTGGGAACAAGATGTTTGTTTTGAGATTGGCAAATGGCCTAACAAATTAGGGCATATGGGTGTAATGGACCATAACTGTGCCATGAAGAATGATGAATAAGGAGACTTCCTACAACAGCCTGGTGAAGAGTGAAGAAAGCTGAGTCAAAAAAAACAACATACCCCTGGTACAGTGGAAATAGCCCTAGTTCTGAATCCAGAAGGCTGGGGTTCAAACCCACCTCTCATACTTATTACAAGACAATCATTTCACCTTCTGCGACCTCAGTTTCCTCATCTGTAAAATGAAGGTGTTGGTTGAACTGGACAACTGCCAAGGTCCTTTCCGGTTCTGGGGCTATGATTACCTGTAGTAAATCCCCACAACCACATCCCTGACCAGCAGTCAACTAGCCTCAAATGAGCAGGGAGCCCCACTATTTCCCAAGGCAGTGCCCCTCTCGCTTCTAGAAATCTAATCAGGAAGCAGCTTCTCTTGACATCAAATCTGCATTTTGGCCACTTCTTTTTCATTATTTATTTTATTCTGATCTTAAGAAATAAAACAAGCATAGCTATAACAGTAAAATAGAAGAAAAAAGAGATAATTATCCATGAAGCTTCAAATCTATTATGTGCAACTTACTATTCCTTTTAAATATGTAATAAAGTTATCATGTGACTTTTTTCCTTTTTTTTCCTTCCCCTCTCCCTACCATAGAGATGGCTACCATTAGACACAAATGTGTGCGTGTGTGTGTGTGTGTGTGTGTGTGTGTGTGTGTGTGTATGTAAGTAAAATCATTCTACATATATTTCTATTTATCAGTTCTTTTTCTGGATGCAGATAGCTTATTCCTTCATAGGTCATTTGTCATTCATTAAGGTATTTATAATAGTCTAAATGATTTAGTTGCTCAAAGTTGTTCTTAAAGCAATATTTCTGTTACTGTATATTACAAGAAAATTCGAAGAACAGGGCGTTTATTATCTATCAGACTTATGGATTGATGAACAATTTATGAGTAAAGAGATAGGGCACAGTGCGAGGTGTACAATGGATAATTTCAATTACATTAAATTTAAAAAATTTTGTACAACAAAACAAATGTAGCCAAGATAAGAAGGAAAGCAGAAAATTGAGGGCGGGGGGAAATATTTATAGACAGTTTCTCAGATAAAGGTGTCACATCTCAAATATTTTGGCAACTTCTATCCTGGACTCCTACTTTGGCCCTCTGGAGCTAACTGGAACAAGTCAAATCCTGGCTGTGCCTTTTGCCTATATATAACCCTGGGTGAATCATTTTTCCTCTCTCAGCCTCAGTCTTGTCACCTGTAAAATGGGGAAAATAATAGCATCTACCTCCCAGGGCTGCAGTGAGGATCAAATGAGATAATATTCAGAGAGCACTTTGCAAACCTTAAGGTGCTACGTAAATACTAGCTATTGCTTAGTGTTGATATTAATATTATTATTGGCTATAATAATAATAATAATAATAATAATAATAATAATAACAATAAAATAAGAGGGCTGGACTAGGTGAGGTCTAAGGTCCCTTCAAACCTTTAAATCTATAATCCTATGGTTGTTCTTCCATGTCACCACTCTTCAAACACTCAAAGCCATCCCCTCCCGCCAAGTCTCCTATAATAATAAAAATAATGATAGCCAGAATTTATAGAGTACCTACTATGTGATAAGCCCTTTGCAAATATATCTCATTTGATACTCACAACCATGCAAGGTCAGTGCTATGATTATTCCCATTTTACAGTTGAGGAAACTAGGGCAAAATGAGGTTGCCCAAGGTCACACTAAGGCGCCCAGGTCTTTTTTCATTTTCTTTAGGCACCCCTGCTCCCATTCTTTCCTTATGCAGTTGATTCTTTAAACCAAAGTGTAGAACTCTCAAAGACTGGTAGACAGAGCATGGAGAGAGACCTATGGCTCAAGTACACAAAGAAAGATATGATTTTGTTACAGGTATTCATTTCATTATTATTGTTGTTTCTATCCAAAGATATGTGTTTAGGCCCCACCTTAGGTTCTCCTCCCAGGCCTACTCACTTCCCCCATCTCAGTTTCTTTGCCTTTGTCCACCACACACAGGGAATCACTTTAGTACCCACGGCCTACCCACTTTCCTACGAAAGAAAACACCCCATTACCACAGCCTCTGCAAAACCCGCTGAATGTTTTATTTGAATATATTGCACAATTAATTCCACAGCACCACAAATATCAGTCAACAAGCCTTTATTAAGCATCTACTCTGTGCTAGGCACTGGGGCAAATTTTAAAATGAAACAGTTCCTGCCATCAAGGAGCTTACATTCTAGCGGGGGACCCAACATCTATACATATAATATATAAAATGTATAAAGTATAAATGCAAGGTAATGGTCAGGATTGTGGGAGGTACTAGCAGCCAGGGAGGATCAGGACAGGCTTCCTGTGGGAGGGAGTAATGAGTTGAGTGTTGAAGAGGCTGCGGTGAGGACGGAGGAGGGCATTCTGGGCAAAGGCACAGAGATGAGAGACAGCTTGTGAAGGAGACAGAGCCGGTGAAGGTGAGTCACAGAGGGTCTAGAAAAGCAGGTTTATCCCAACTTGTGAAGGCTTTTAAACACCAAACAGAGTAATAAAGCCTTCACAGCAAACAAGATAGTTCATTGAACAGTACAGATATACCCAACCAAGTCAAAAAGTCCATTTCTCCGAGCCAAGATCTGAAAAGAGACTTGGGATAATAATGGCTAACATTTACATAGACCCAACTATCCACCAAACACTGGGCTAAGAGCTCAGTAATTATTATTTCATCTGATTCTCACAACAACCCTGGGAAATAGGTGCTATTATTTATCCCATTTTACAGAGGGGGAAACTGAGGCAACAGCATTTAAGTGATTCGCCCAAGGTCACATGACTAGTAAGGGTCTGAGGTCAAATGTTAACTCAGGTCTTCCTGACTCCAGCCTGGCACTCTATCCACTGAGCCACCTAGCTGCCCCTAGGAGATGTTATAAAGGTTTCTGCTTGGAACACTAAATGGTTCCAGGAACAGAGAAGTAACTTCAAAAATATGTGTATTTCTACGTAATTGGAAAAAATTAAAATTATGTTCCTTTGCGGAGACAGAGTTCTTGAGGGGAAAAAAATAAACCATTATGAGCTATTTAAAAAGATGAGCAGATAAAGCAATGACTCCATTCTTTTCCATCAGAAAAGAATAATTCAATAAAGAAATGTGGGGGGAGGAAGATGTAATACAGATTAAATAAAACCAGAATTTAAGTTCTCAGGATCTTATCCTCTGCTGTGATGAAGACTGTTTTATAAAAACAGATACCAAGCAACAAGAAGACAGCGTAATCAATCAACAATTAT